ATTATTTGGCTTGAGGCCAATTCACTTTCTTTCTCACTTTTTTGATGCTTTGGATATTTAATGTTTATGTCACCTTTATTAATGGTCAATTTTGTTCTTTAACATGCAAAGGTGTCTTTTATATAATCCATCAATAAACATCAATTCTAAAGCAATCACTAGAATCCATAGGAAGCTTACAAGATTTAAGGAACATCATAACAACTTCTCTGACCTACCCTTATAGGTAGGGCTTACTTTTTTACACATCAATCAAAGCCCTCACTGGTTTGCAGAAAAGCGTCTTACCTAAGGATAAGTGATCCTTTTCTATCTTCCATCTTGTCAAGGATAACAAAATCAACAGGAAAAAATAAATTACCTTACCTTGACGAGCACATCTTTCTACAATACCCTTAGATATTTGATTATCCGTGAATGGATCGATCCGCTAATTGTGAGCATCCTTTGTTTGGTTTGTAGTTCATCCATTCCTTACTGCTCCATGAAACTTCATAAGAGCATTAAGATTAATGCTTGCACCTAAATCAGCTAAAGGCTTTTCAAAATCAAGATTTCTAATATTATAAGGATAGAAAAAACTTTCCTGGATCTTTTAATTGAAGGCAATTTGTTTTAAATGATTGCGACTACAGCTCCTCCATTCACATTACCGTTCCTTTGATCATCAATCTCCTTTTTTTTGCTTAAGGACTCTACTTCAAGAATTTTGCCATAACTGGGCACGTTTGAGCAAAGAGCTTTCAGCATAAGGGTGTTTATTTGAAGCTTTTTTGAAAAAGTAAAGAAAATTTGAGGAAGCTTTTATCATCTTTTTGATTGCTCTTGAGGCCTTTGTTTGAAAAAGGAATAGGTGAACTAAGGCTGACTTCTTCTTCAAGATCAATGATGGGGATCTTCTTCTTTCCCTATTTCTTGCTTTTCTTCATCCTTTCCTAGGTGGATCCTCCAATTGCTTTCCATTCCTCAAAGTGATAGCTTACCTATTCTTTTGGGTTTTTCTCAGTGTTATAGTAAGTACCATGAGGTCTAGAAGGACATCATGTTAGAAACTGTCCTAATTTTAAGTCTCCAAATATCCTTATCGCATCTTGTTGACTTTATGATGTTTCCTAAGCTTCATTCATGAAATCCATATGCGATTTAGAGAGTGCAATGAGGCGATCACCATGAGGCTTTTTCTCTCGAGGAGGAAAACCTCGTGGCATTCAAGGCCTTTTTTTGATTCCCATAAGAAAGATTAAGATGATTCCTCAACCTATCATTTCATTAAGAGTTTTGGAATATGGGTAAGTTTTTCCTTCCTGATCTCACATTAGGTGACTTGCTCCCAAAAGTTTGAGGATTTGAGATATCCAACATGCATTCCCCAATTCCATGTAAGCCCATTTATACTTTCCATGCTTGCACATAGAATTACAGGGAGTTAGTGGTTAATAAAATTCAAATTTTTTTACTATTATCCACTTTGAATTGTTGTGGTGATGTCATCAATCTTATAAACTCTATTCGCTTCTTCCTTCAGAGGTATTTTGGTAATGGCTATTGCTTGCCATCTCAATCTATTTAAATCATATGCCTAATCTTTTCAAAAGGATCCACCAGCAGCTACATCTAAAAGTAATTTTTATATTAGGAGACAATGCATTATAGAAAGTTTACCTGTAACCATCTTGGGGTAAGCTATTAATGTGGGCCACTTCCTCTAATAGGTTCTTTTAAATCTTCTCCCAACACTTTCATTACAAACTTCTTGATCAAGGTGAGCAAAATTCGTTTATCTCTTTGCGAAGCTTTGTGGCTTTTAAAGATGGAAAGAATTTCGCCAAAAACTTTCAGTTCTTCCCATGTGGTTGAAACTTCCAGCAGTGCATGATCTGGCAACTTAAGAATGGTGCTTTATCCTTTATCAGTGGAAAGGAAAACAGTTTTTAATTCTGATGGCATCCTTCAGAAAGAAAATATCTATTTTGCTGATGTATCACAAATCTCTAGGAAATTTGTGATGTGGGCATTAAAGATTTTTCACTAGGCAACCCCGTACTGAATGAGGTTGTTAGCATTTTGAAGTAATAGCAGGCTTGATCTCAATGTTAGATTCCACCCTAGGTTTAGTGATTACTTTTAAGCTGGCTCCATTAGAGAAGGGAGTGGTTGTAATCTCGCAAAGTGCAAAATAGGGGTCGAGGTCTTTGATTTGATTGTGTTGGTTGGAGTAAACCATTGCAAAATCTGCTGCTCTTTGTGATGAAGTTAGATCCTCTTTATCATCAGTCATGTTCTACTTTGCCCTTATTTCACGCTCTCGTCTCTTCTTGCAGCGTTGTTCCTTCTCAAGTCTTTTTCGATTTCTGTATCAAAGACTAAAGGTTTCAAACTCTACCTAAGATCTTCTTTGCATAAAACACCTGAAATTCTTATTAAAAGAAATTAAAGAATAAAAAAATAAATGTCCTAAATTAAATAATAGGATATTAATATTGATTATTGTTAATGCAATCCTCGATAACGGTGCCAAAAACTTGATAGGTTTTTTCGTAAGTGTACGAATTTGTGAAAAACAAATAATAAATAGTGAGTAGAGTATCGCCCACAAATATTATATACCAAGTAACCAAAATTGTGTTTAACCTACTATTATTTAAATTGATAATAAGGAAAGAATATTAATGTAGAATTTAAATTAAGAAAAATAAAAGAGAGTAAAAAGAAAATCAAGGAAGAATATTTCATGAAAGAATATCCAAGGATTAAAAGTTACTTAGGAATTTTGACTTTCACTTAAACTTCACTTAATTTTATCCAATTTATTTTATTAGTTGGATACTTAATTTTAATTATTTAAGCAGGGGAAACAACTCTAAAATCACTAACAAGCTCTCCCGATGTATTGTTAGCTATTTTAATCTGGTTTAATTACCTATCTTTTAATAGCAGAATCAAATATGAATTAAATCATTAAGTTTTATGATTTATTTATGAATTCATAACCTAAGGTCGTTAACTTATGAAAAATCCTCATGAGTCAAACCATATAGCTTTCACATCAAGTTATTATTCCCATATAATTTGTTACCTTTTTCATATAAAAAATCCTTCTTCCAATAGTGATTAATGAAATAAATCAATCAAGGGGAGAAACTCTATCTGAAAGCATTAAGTTCAATAATATACTATACGTTGAATAAGGAAAAGCAAATCTCATATTATAAATTAGAATAGAGATCAAGCTACATTAAATCTCTAGTATGAGAGTTTAGTTCGATATAGTAATTAAATAAAACTCAATTAAACTTGAAAATAATTTCATAATCAATATGAAAAATGAAAAATAGAAATAAGATTAAGAGTTTAGAGATAAAAACTAGTCAACGAATACTTGAAAATAATTTCATAATCAATATGAAAAATGAAAAATAGAAATAAGATTAAGAGTTTAGAGATAAAAACTAGTCAACGAATAGCATAGACGGCTGCCTTGATTCTTTACACAACTTGAATGCTCAAAGTTGTAGAAGAAAGAAAACTAAGAAAAAAAATTGAACAAAGATCTAAGATGTAAGATCTAAGATTCGATGATCCCTAATTGTTGCAGTAATCTCTCTTTATATAGAGTTCATAGGGCGTCTTTGAATCCGAGTAGGAAACTAACTAGCCCAATTAGGAAAAAATATTATTTGAGTAAAAAACTGATTTTGTATTGTATTTATTCCCAATTAGGAGTCTTTTTTTACCAAATAAACTGGAACTCAAACAAGTTAGATCTTCTATTATTTCCATGCAGCTCCATGCATAAGACATGCTTAGGCTTTAATTCTACACGCGCTAGATAATTAAATTCGGCCTACTTTGAATTTTCAGCTTTCTTGAAAACACGGTTGTAGCGTATGACACAGCCAAATCGTGTACTTTACTGACTTAACCATGTTGAGCTTTTATTTCCATTTTTCAGCTCCAACTTTTTTTATGCAAATTTTGGCTATTTTCGTGTTAAAAACGCTTCAAATCAAGCTTATCAAGAATCAAGAAAACTTAACGAAAAATATAAATAAATATAAATAAAATTAATCAAAGTAATTAAAAAACATAAAAATCCTAATAAAAATTAAACTAAAAATACTATAAAAATAAGACTTCTCAACATCCAAGGGTAAACTTGTAAAAATGAAATCTAGTTAGTCAATGGTAAATTTGTCAACTTAAAAGTCAAGGTGAAAAATCATCCAAATGGAAGCCAAAAAATAAAGAGTAAACTTGACAAAACACTATTCACAAAACCAAGGGTAAATTTGTCAAGATGAAAACTCCTAAAAATGGAAGCCAAAAAGTTAAGGGTAAATTTGTCAACATACTATTCTGTGAACAATGTTTTTTGGTTGCGTTGCCATATGACAAAAGGCAAAACAGAGAAAGCACTAAAATAGGGTGTTTTTGAATGGAGTAGCAATTTATCTGGCCTGATTAAGAATAAATATTATTTGAATAAGGTATTGATTTTATGTTGTATTTCTTTTCAATTAAGAGTTTTTTTTGACCAAATAGGAATAAAACTCAAACAAGATAGGTCTTCTATTATTTCCATGCAACTCCATGAACAAGATATGCTCAGACTTTAAATCTATAAGGGCTAAATAATTAAATTCGGCTCACTTTGAATTTTCAACTTTCTTGAATAATATTATATGTTTAATAAATTAGTAGATAGATTCTAAATTAATATATTAGGAGAATATATCATTTTTAAAATGAAATATTTTATATTTAGCACCACATTATTTTTTTTGATGACTGAATTTTAGTGAGTGGCTTCTTGTAGAAATAAAAATAAAAATTAAATGACTTAAAAGTAATAAATTAAAGTTACGTGATCTTATGCCATTAAAATTAAAGTTATATCAGTATTGGTAACCAAAAGAAAAGTAATTGTACGAAAATAACATTTAGGGATAAACAAATTTATTTTGGAAAATACAAGGATGATGTAGTTAATGTTGCCATTGTAGTGTAACAAAATGACGGCTACAACATTAAACTAACAATTTTACCAAACAGCTCCTAAGTCCTAACAAGATAAAGGGACGCGCTCTATACTGAGTAGAGAAACAGAGAGATGATGGGGTTGTGTTACAATCCTTTCCCTCCAAGTTGCCGGCTTCAAGTGGTAGACTCCTCTCGGCAGTTGAAGAATGCTGACAATAAGCTTAAGCTTACTTCTCTGGTTTTTTCCTGAATTGCATTTTCCCTTCAGCTTTTCAATTGTCTTAGATTTTCAGCAATAAATTGCATTAATCTTGGTTCTGATATTTAATTAGAAGAAGAAGACGAGGCCATTCAATGGATTTCGAAGGGCTTCTCCAAAACTTTTCGCTTACTATGGATTGAAGACACCTCCTTACGAACTCGTAAGTCACAGCTTTCTTTTCTTTCTTTCTTTGAATGGGTTTAACCTATCAATACTGTAATCCATTCCTTAAAAATGTATTTTTTAAAATTAATTTTTATTTTTCAAAGACTTTTGAAATAAGTCCACATGAAACCCTGTATGATTCTATTTGACTACAGCTTTAAGGTAATTCTTTTGCCTCGTTGTTTAACGAAGTGGAATTTGAATATTTGTTATGTTGCCATTTTCAGCAGAGAAAAACTTAATCTGCTATTCTTTTGTGCTTATTAGGATGCTTTAGAACCGTATATGAGTAAAAAGACATTAGAGATGCATTGGGGTGAATATCATCGAGGTTATGTGGAAGAATTGAATAAAGAACTAGCAAAGGATGATGTACTATATGGCTATACCATGGAAGAACTTATCAAAGTAACATATAACAATGGGAACCCCCTTCCTCAATTCAACAATGCTGCCCAGGTTTGTCTGTGTTTACTATTTTCTAGCTTCTTGTTATAAATTCTTTGGCAGGCGAAGTGGGTGCCTTTGGTGTGGGATTGTTCAATTTATCAAATTTGTTTTAGTCAAAGCAGTTTCTTGATCAAGATCATCACTGGATGTAAATAATTGTGTTGCTTAGACCTGGAGTTCAAATTGTTGGCTGAAAGTGGGTGCTGGTGTAGCTTATCTTGGAGTTTCAATTCGATGTTTATGGTTGATACTCGATACCACTTTCATGGATTCATATTTATATTCATGTAGTTGTGTTGATTTATCTACATTCGTGGTTATTTTAGAATTGCATTATACAGGTCAAGAGCAAAAGCATGCTAAGCTGGAATTGTACTGATTGATCTCTTGTGTTGACTTGAAATATAGCATTAGGATGCATAGACTAGCAACCCTTGCTGAATCCTCCAACACATAGTTAATCCAACTCCAATATGGAATTTTCTTTTTTCTGCGTCATTCACTTCTAGTTGCTGAAAGCTTCTACTTATCCTAAATATGAACACGGTTCCTACTTTCCCCCTTAAATACCTTTTAAGTAATTGGAAGGAAGATAAAAGTTAATGCAAGTTTGTTGAAGTTATGCGGAATTTATCAAAATTATCTTGGAAGTTTTAGCTTGGTTGGGCAAATTGTTGCCTTTGATCTCGATGCATGCCTATCAGTAAACCAGAAGACTGAATGAGCGCTTACATTGTCCTCGACTCATTTAAAGACTACAGCATGGTTGGCTGATACACAAGTTTGAATATGAAAAATTGAGAAGAAAGCATAGCTCGTAGCAAAAGAGTAAAATGTGATATGATGAAAATCCAGTAAAGTATTACAATTGAAATTGTCCTTCCACTAATCAGACATGTTATTTGTTTCGGAGTATGGTTGATCCTGTAGTTGAGATGAGACTTTAAGTCTCTTTTCGTTGTCTGCCATCTTACCGGTTCTTGCAGCCTTCTGAGGCAGACTTGAATTTGTTGGGCTACTTATCTCTTTGACATATAATTCCATTTTTAGGAACAGATTTCTCTTCATTTCAAGACTCTAACTATAAGAAATTACTTGAATTAACAATTGCAGGTCTGGAATCATGACTTCTTTTGGGAATCCATGCAACCAGGAGGAGGGGAGATGCCTGAACTTGGGGTACTTCAGCAAATTGAAAAAGACTTCGGTTCCTTCACAAATTTCAAGGAGAAGTTTGTGGAAGCCGCTCTTACACTATTTGGATCCGGTTGGATTTGGCTTGTTCGTAAGTTTTCCCTCAGTTGATCATGCTTTTTAAACTTTGAGTAGAATGGCATTGCTGATTCATAAGTAATTTCATTTTGGGTTTCGTCTTAAAGGTTCCTTCTTCATCTTCTTTGTCTAATTTTCTATTCTGTTGGAGGCCCATTTACCATGGGCTATGCAATTATAGTTAGCCTTCCATCTTGGGAACCTCCCACCTTATAGTAGAGATTTAGATGATGACGCCTCCGATTTGGCTTTCTGAGCACCAACTATTGGTTGCCTTGAAAGAAAAAAAAATGAAAAACTTCATAATGATTATGGAAAGCAATTTTATCCTCATCTGCCTTTCAATTCATTATGACTTGTGGGCAATATCTATGGTATATACTTAAGGGAGTAATGCTTATAATCGAAAATTTGCAGCTGCATTTTATACATATTCAAGATATTATGTTCTATTTTATGGTAAAATCATGGAGAAAAATATTGGATGAACCAAATATTCTTATTTAATGAGTTGAGAATAACTGTATGGTAGAAACGTAACTTCTTATGATTAACAGATTCAGTATATCAAGCTAGAACAAAAACACAAGAACAATGGTTCATTGTAACTTAGAAGGAAATGAGCATTGCATATTTCTCTAATCTACTATGGACTAGAACAATCATCAGTAGGACTAGTTAGAGTTGGGATGGAGGGGGGGTTCTAACTTGTTTATAGAGAATTGACAGGATCCTTGAATAATGAATGTGAAATTTGGTTAAGCTTACAGTACTGTTGCTAATGCTAACCATACTGGTCTACTATGGGTTTTCGCAAGTGCATCACATATATGACCATCGGAACACATTGGATTTTACTTGCATCTCCTTAATTTGAGCAAGGACAAATCTTTTTCCTTTTTGCCAGCTGTTTTTCCCTGGAATTATTTTCTTATTAATTAGTAATGTATTTTGTTGGTAGTGAAAAGAGAAGAAAGACAACTTGCTATTACGAAAACATCAAATGCCATCACTCCGCTTGTATGGGACAATATTGTATGTCTATTCTATACCTATATACTTGAATTTCATCTTAACAATTAATTGATCAGCTTTTTTTTTTTCTTCTTAAACAATCTCATTGATCATAGTTTTTTTTTCTCCCTCTTGCAGCCCATCATCTGTTTAGATATGTGGGAGGTAAATTCTTATAGTCTTTCTATCTCACACGCACCCACAAAAAATGAAAAAACAAAAAGAGGCTTGTGTTCACAAACATTGTTTTTTTTTTTTTCTTTTCCTTCCATGTGTTGCAGCATGCTTATTATCTGGATTACAAGGTATGCAAACAAAATGACAAATCTCTCTACCTATTACTTTTGATTTAGCCTCATCTAGTTTTACCCATCATTTATTATCTTGACAATAATGCGGCTTCTTGTAAACAGAATGACAAAGGAAGCTATGTGAATGCTTTTATGAATCACCTTTTATCTTGGAATGTGGCAATGGCACGCATGGCACGTGCAGAGGCCTTTGTTAACTTGGGAGATCCAAAAATTCCTGTTGCTTAATATTTTTGGCTTCAAAAAGATCATTGATTAAATGGTTACAGAGGCTTCTGAGTTACTGCAGTCAGACATCAAGTGTTGAAGATGAATAAGTTTAGAAATGGTGCACTAATGTAACATGTGAAAAGAAAGATGCTTAATGTTGCCTCTAGTTTAGTTCATATGTTGTTGTATGGTTCATGTAGATGCCCTAATGTTATTGGGGCTATCCGGAATGCTAGTAGTAGGGGAGATGAGGGATTATAATTGATATGTAATTCATTTGGGAAGAGTAATAGGTAGTTTAGGAGAATCTTAATGTATTGGTAGTTTGCCAGAACCATACTTGTCAAATTGAGAATCAAAATCTTTATTTTAGAATCGAGAATCGAATTGTAAGATTCAGTATAACTTTTCAATGTTAATATATATATTCAAATTCTTATATCTTTAGACTCGAGATCGAATTTGTAAGATTCAGATAACTTTTCATTGTTAATATATATATATATATAATATATATATATATATTATATATATTAATTTTGTATATATTAATTTTGTCAAAGATATTAAAATTAATTGCAAATAATGTATTTATATAAATTTCAATTCTAAATCATATATTAAACACAAAATGAAATAGAACTTAATGACTTGTGTAGTTGTCAAGTTTAAAATATCATGAAGTTAATATTTTAATCTAAAACAAAGTAAAACTATCAAGTTATTAGAATTTCTTATTCAAATCCATATTCATTACTATTTCCAAGTTTAAGCCCTTCATTATCTTGTCTTCTAATATAATTATATTTTCATGCTCTTTTTTCTCTATTGATTTTTCCATTGATTTTGTTGGGTAAGGGAATTGTTGGACATGAGAATCGACTCGAATCTTACAAATTCATGAATCATAAGATTCAAGATCAATACCGATTTACCCGTAAGATTCGAATCGTTTAACATGAAAATTAAATTGAATCGTAAGATTCGTATCATGAATTATAAGATTCTGATAACATTGGTTAGAACCGTAAGGAAAGAAAAAAAGAAGCAACAAATATTGTTTTATCAGCCAACTTTGAACCTAGTTGTTATATTATTGGATAAAACCATAAAACACATAGGCATGGCCGGTTCAATGAACCGCCGGTTCCGGTTCATTGAACCGCCACTTCGAGATGTTTAAAATTTTAAACCGGAACCGACTCTTGAACCTCCGGTTCTGGTTCTGGTTCCGGCACGGTTCCGATGAACCGACGGTTAGAATTACGGTTCCGATTCAGTTCCGGTATTACACAAACTTTTAAAAAAAAATAATAAAATTTTGATTCCAAATTCATAAATAAATAATAATTTTAAAATGTTTAGATTTTATTAACTAAATAAATTATTATATTCCAATTTCATAAATAAATAATTAATTTTAAAGAATAGTTTTAAGATTTAATTAACTAAATAAATTATTATTAAAATTTTAAAAGAAAAAACTTCTATTAACTTAAAACCCACTTATTACACTTAAATTACAAATTTGCACTCATTAATATAGAAAAATTATTATTTTTTTTTTAATTTTGGGCTTGAATTAAATTAAATTGAAAAATTGAAAAATTTTAATTTAATTGCCTACGAATCCTCTTGGAAATTAAAGGAAATCAAAGCCCAAGTAGTTATTTTTTTTATTAATACAATGGAAAATAACCTCCCAATTATTATAATTAATTTTAGTCATCGGTGCCACTAGTCCCCGTTAATGAGCCAGAATCATTGTCATCGCTTGAATTTTGTTGGTCTTGAGTTCTCAATGCCGCTCTAGTCCAATTGTCACACATTCTTGCATTTCCATATTATTTGGCGATAATCTTGACCGTGTTCGCTCTAAAATTTGTCCATTCGCACTAAAAGTTTGTTCCACTGCAACAGTAGAAATTGGACAAGTAAGAATATCTTTTGGAATTGAAGATAAGACTGAAAAGCGATTTGCATGCTTTTTCCACCAATCCAAAATGTCAAATTTTGTTCGGTATTCATCCACATCATCACCTAAAAACTCAAAATCTATGCTAATATATGTCTCAATTTCTTTGTATGAATGTGGACCTTCCCTTAGTTTTTTTGAAACATTTTGCATGAAAGTAAATTGTGTAGAATGAAATTTAGTGGTGTAGTTTGTGGATTGTGATACCTGAGGGAAGGGGAGATCACTAATTTAGATACTCATCATACAATTGCGGACGATACCTTAAAACATTATTAGAAGAGAAAAATAATCTTATTCAATTATTAAAAGATCCATAATAAAGACGAAAAAATTTCTTATAAATGCAACTGACTTAAATCTAGACAAAGAAAAAATTGCAACTAAATTTAAATCCGAAATTTCAGTATAATAGTTCTAACCATTTAGTTTCATCAAGATATACATTCTTTGTAAATCATACATCATTGTTCATTTTTCAATTTATGGCACTAATATATGCCAAACAATAAATGGAAATAACATGAGAAGTAGCGATTAATAAACACCACTTAAAAATTTCTTGTCACAATTTTTAAAAAACTTGCAACTATCTAATATTTTTTTACAAATAAGTCCAATTGGTGGATTAAAGTTGAAAATGTGATGCAGCAAATTTGCATAAATGAATAAAGAATATTTATATTTCATAAGGACTCATTTAACATTTTATAAGTTGAAAATTCCCCTTATAGGAATATCTCTTTGAAAATTTTTTATATTTTTTTCCCATAGAGTTGATAGAATTTTTAAATTTCTTTCTAACATAATCCGTGTGTCATAAATGATTTAAAGCATTTTTTATTGGACATAAAAATAAAAATACATTTAATGTTGTTAATGCATCTTGAACACATAAATTTAAAATATGACATACACATCTAGTGTGAAAAAATTGTCCATCAAATTTAGGTTGATAAAGAGTTTTTAATTTATTTATTGATGCCGTATTTGCACAAGCATTATCAAAACCAATTGTAAAAAATTTTTTTAGTCAAACCATATTCTTTTAAAATAATATTTAGCATGGTAAAAATATTATGAGCGATGTGAGAGTTATCAAAAACTCTATGTGCAATAATTCTTTTTTGAATTTTTCATTCATTATCAATCCAAAGGGAAGTAACACCCATATAAGAATGAGTTTGCTAAGCATCACATCAAATATCACAACAAATAGCAATTTTACCATTAAAATTTGCAAATAAATTTTTTAAAATTTCTTTTCTTTCAAATAAATAGATAAGATAGTCCTTTTAAGTGTATTTTCTTAGGTATCTTTTTTTTGCTAAAGGATTTAATGCTTTTTTACAATAATTACTGAATCCAATTTTTTCATCAAATAAAAAAGATAATTGTTCCATACAAACCATTTTAGCCATTTCAATTTTATTAGTTTCATCACTATATTTAAATAGAGGAGTATTAGGATTACAATATCTTGATGACGATAATTGAGTTTGAGTTACATCCATTCCTACCTCAATTGGATGATGTGATTTTAAATGCCTATTGAGAGTGTCATAGCCTCCTCTAAACTTGAATGCATATTATTTTTTGCAATAATTACATCGAATTACATCGAACCGCATTGATTTCTCCGTTACTTGAACAGTTTTTGCAAAGTGTTTCTTGAAATATCTGATTTTGGTGGTTTACCTATTGAAATATTAGGAGATGTTATTTCTTCTTGTGGTGGATGACGACGAATATAACGTTTTTCAACTAGAGTTTGATATTGAATTTCATCATTAAATTGTGGTGAAAAATCAATCAATAGATCTTTTGAATCAATTTCTTCCACGCTTTGAGTAACTCGCTTTTTCTTGAAGCTTTGTGAATTGTGTGCCATGTTTTTAAATGGAATTATGGAAAAAAAAATGAATAAATGGAATATAAAATTACTGGAATGAGTTGGAAATTATTATTTTCAAAAATTATTAAAAATCAAATGAAGTAAAATTTATGAATTGAAAAGAATTGAGATTAGAAGGAATTAGAATTGGATGTATTTGAAAAATAAAAAAATAAAACAAAAGATAATTCCAATATTAAGAAAAATAAAGCAACTAGAAAAAATGTGAAAACTATTGTAATTTGAGGAATTTTGATTGGAGAATAAAAGGAGATTAGGATATAATTGGTTGTGAAAAAAAAATCATAAACTCACATCTTATATACATATTTTTCACTTTTTAGTTTCCAAATTGTCCCTTATAATATCCCTTATAATAGAAAAATAACAATTATATTTTTGGATAATTTAGTAAATTATAATAAATAAATAAATAATTGTTAAAAATAATAAAATTTATTTACCAAAAATAAAAAAATTAAAAGTCATCTCAAGTTCTCAACTAGTCGTTTGTACTTTTTTTTTGTACACATACTTTTTTTTTTTACAAATCAACTATTCATGTACTATTTTTTGTACAAATTAAATCAAATCATGTGTACTTTTTTCACCAATTTTTATAAATTATGTACTATTGTATATTTCTCTTCACCATAAATCAATTCAACTATAATCAAATCAAGTGATATAAATTTTTTTATAAAAAATTTTTTTTTTATAAAAAATTTTTAAGGCTACAAATAATTTTGTTTTGGTGGATCCAGTGTTCGAAGTCAGACTGGGAAGCCGCCGTTCGCTTAGGGGGCTGGTTTTAGGTTTCATTTTTTAAAACAGTTCACATGAAATCTTAATCGGCCTTGAACGCGGGGCCGTTTCGGGTCCAATTCTTGATTTATCTAGGCAGTAAGCGGTTCGATTTCTGGTTAAAACTGGAACCTGTTGGCCATGCTAAAAAACTCATTGGAGAAGAAAGCAGCTAAATATTAAAAAATTCTTTTGTTAATTTATCGAAAAGCTTAATAACTATAAAGTTCTTTTATTAAGAAGAGAATTAACAACAAAGTTTTTTATAAATTATGTACTATTGTATATTTCTCTTCACCATAAATCAATTCAACTATAATCAAATCAAGTGATATAAATTTTTTTATAAAAAATTTTAAGCTACAAATAATTTTGTTTGTGCATCCAGTTCGAGTCAGACTGGAACCGCCGGTTCTAGGCTGGTTTAGGTTCATTTTTTAACATTCACATGAATCTTAATCGGCCCTTGAACCGCCGGTTTCGGTCCAATTCTGATTTATCTACAGTACGGTTCGATTCTGGTTAAAACTGAACTGTTGGCCATGCCTAAAAAACTCATTGGAGAAGAACAGCTAAATATTAAAATTCTTTTGTTAATTTATCGAAAAGCCTATAACTATAAAGTTCTTTATTAAGAAGAGATTAACACAAAGTTATGTGAGAGATGGAAGATCTAGAGAATGGTATTGAAAGAGGAAAATAAAAATTCTAATC